TGTGCAGCAAAGAAGGTTCGGGTGATTCTGGCACAGTCAGGCTGGTAAAGCTCATCATCAGCTCAGGTACCCTTATCCCTTCTAAACACAGCCCAGACAGCGATTTGGACTTCACAACCTATTGCGCTTGTTACACAATGAATGCCACGGCCACATAGCACACTAGATACCAGAACTGGCGTATGACATAAGGTGACGATATTGGTAATCGATTCCATACTCAGACAAGTTTTGCTGATTTCATTTCCCAAGAAACAAGATATAGATTTAACATTAGCAGCTCTGATGATCTACAGCCTCGCATATTTCACGTTATTAACAAACAATCCTGCGTGTTATCAGTTGGCTATTGCATGTAGTGAAGTGAACATCCGTAGTTTCATCTCGCAAGTCCTCTCGTCGGCTCTCAGAAACCGTTCAGCTAACCACCCTACACCAAAAGAGTACCAGCACAACATTGTCCAAGTCATAGCGTATTTCCTACAAATGTATTTCCATTACGATGAACTATGTACGAATTCAACTCTATGAACTGTGAGCGGTCATGACTCACTAACACATTAATTGATGACTCTTGAAGCAGTTATCTGTGATAAAGGAAATAATGGAAGATTTATTATATAAGATTTTTTATCTGATGTTTGTGTTTAAGACAAGGATGGATAAACCTGTATATTGTAGAGAAGACACAATTGTTGTCGTATCGATCTTGTGGAGAAACATTTGTGATGAAGTAATCCAATCCTTTCAATATCCAAGTTTCATTGACCTTCAAATTATCTTGGAAATTTATTTAATACTGTTAGGGTACGTTTTATGATTGGTCTTATAACGTCATACAATACTTAGGGCATGCTATTTGTTTCTTAAAAGTCTCTCTTAGATGTTCGAAGCAGCATCTCAAAGCATGTCTAGTTAGAACAGAATACGAACTGATGCAAAATATACTTTTTGTTCACCATATTTCACAAAATTTCACAAAATTTCACAAAAAACCCAAACCAAACAAACTATAAGTGAACTTAAAATGTGAGCACAAAAGGATTCACAAAAACAAATCAACAATTCACACTGTTTTTATCTTATGTGAGAATATAATTAACTAAGCTGACAATCAGTACACATCGCCTAAAAGAATTCCAGTGGCAGTACAAATTTTATACATTTACGTTGACAGTATAAAAGATAACTGGTAACAAGAATAAAGTAGGGACAATAATATTACCTTACTGCAACAGCGGTAAAGCTGCCAATAGCTTGGCTTGATAGCCATGGTGGCGGTATGGTATTCGCGCAATGGTCTTGGTGTAATGTGAGATAGGTGAGGTATGAAGGTGTTAGAAACCTTCTAGAAATTCTTTACTATACCATCGTGAGTGAGAGAGTTAAACTTAAACTTTACATTTATACTATAAAGGCATGCATACTATAAAACCATGTCGTCAATGGACACTAAATTAAAGAATAAACTATTAATTCAAACTAGCATGTTACATTACAATTACACCTCTATTAAGGACAATACAACAACACACATGCCTTAGATCGCGATTTCATGAACCATGGTACTTACAGTACTTTTGCTACCTGCATGGACCCTAGCTGGAATTACATCATTCCGTCAGCCGTTGGTGATTGCACTTAGATGTTACCATTACTATGCTACAATTAAAAGCTTGGAATGCTTTTCGAACTGATGTACCCTTTCATGAGGACTGTAATTGTATGTGCTGTAACACCCGTTGAGGATACGCTCGTACAGCAACTAACAATCTCGGTTGCTAATTTAATCTATCAGTTATAAAATAACATGTATTATTTACCAAAAAAATGTTAATAAATATTTTTCAATTATTTTGTTTCTTTTAAAACTAAAAATTAAGTAGCAACAAACGCCATCAACAAGGTCTTTAAAGAAGTCAATACGGTCAAACATATCCTGCTTGGAGGATCATCGCTTTTCGATAAATATACTCTCCCAAAAAAGAAACGCATATAGGAATTTCAACTGTATTTTTAAGTTTATATTATGAAACATCTTGTAGGCTTTATGAGTCAATGAAATATAGCGAAATTGCACACTGGAGTGCAGACTTATCCGTCTTTGGCACCAACTCGAGGAAAGTCAGTTTGAGTGTCACATGGGGACGTGTGGTGGCGCTGAAATCAATACCTCGTGTGACCACCGTGGGCATCCACAACTGCTGGACGAATAAGTCTCAGAATCTCGTGTTGCCCAATCGCAGCCCACTCTGCCTGTAGTGCCTGTGCGAGTTGCTGAAGTGTTACGGCGTCTCCCGTCTGTCCAGGGCATCCCACAGATGTTCGATCGGATTTAAGTACGGTGATCTTGAGGGCCAGGGGAGCACATTGATGTTGTGGTTCTGGAGGAAGTCTTTAGTGTGACGTGCTGTGTGGGGCCTGGCATTGTCCTGTTGAAACAACTCCCTCTGGCGATCAATGATTGGAAGGAGGTGTGGATGTAGGATTTCGTCACAGTACCGTTGAGCTGTCAGGTTGCCCTGGATCATCACTAAATCACTTCTCCTACGGCAGGTGATTTCTCCCCACATCATAACACTGCCCTGACCGAATCGGTCCACCTGGGGAACGCAAGCGTCGGCGAAACGTTGACGTCGACGTCTGTACACCCGCAATCTTCCATCGCGTCGTTCCAATAGAAATCGTGATTCATCACTGAACCAGGTTCTACGCCAATTCGGTTGGTTCGAGGCCTGAACGTTGGTGCACCATTGAACTCGATGTCGACGATGTTGTTGTCGAAGCACAGGGCCAAAATAAGGTCTTCTGGCACGTAAACCAGCCTCTCTCAACCTGTTCCTGACGGTCTGTGCAGAAAGCCTCCTCAATCCGGGTATTTGTCGAGCGGTACTGGTCGCCGTAGCTGTTCGATGACGCAGGTGATGTACCCGGATGTAGCGATCCTGCGCCGCAGTTGTCGCTCGAGGTCGCCCACTACGAGGGGCATCTGCTGCCGCATTCTGCCGGCGATATCTCTCCCAGTGCCGTGAAATGGTGCTTTGGTGACCATTCATGCGTCGGGCAACTGCACGTTGAGACTGGCCAGCTTCAAGCAAACCAATGGCGATATGAGGGTTGGCTTCACTTAGACGTGGCATTTTGCATTCGTCAACAATATTCCAAATACAGTGAATAATCGACAGACAGCGATCAACCTTTTGTACCCATTATTGAGACTATCTTATCCCCAACTTCCACGTGCATTGCATGTGAATTGTGTATTCTGTGACACTACACGCCGAAATTGAAAATCATGCTGTTAAATACTGGTAAGTAAAGGATCTCTCAAAGCAAAATCATGTAATCCCTTTAAAATTCCTTGCATCCAAGTGGTATTGCTGGCTTTCTGAAGATCAGAGAAATAATACGTCTATTTTTCCACATGGAATATTTGTGAGTGAGTGAGTGAGTTAAGATTTAAAGTCACATCGGCAATATTTCAGCCATATCGTGACTAAAACTAGTTCTAAATTTCATAATACATACATATAATATATAAAACCCTGTCAACGAAGGACAGTAAAACCACTAGATTATCACAGATTGAGTTAAAACTAGCTAGCGTATATCTTTAAAAGTACAAAACTATTTTTGGACAATACAATGTAAAAATGGGCTATAGATCGCCAACAACTGAAGATAGATCACCATACAAGGGACCATGGGGGGAATATTTGTAATTAGGTTAGTGATTTCTAGATACCAAATTTATCCATTATTTACCGTTTGTTTCATGGTCTTACAGACGCAGTTGGTGAAACATATTGGTCTGTAAATTGATGGATCTATATAAACCAGACCGACGACTCCGACATTATAAAGGTGAAAAATTCCCTGATGTCCATATTTTGTCAAATATATCTACAAATGTTTCTAGATATGAATCAGGTAAATGTCTCAGGAGCTGATACTGAATATTATCAGCTTCAGTTGCTGTATCATGAGTTCGCGCTCAAGTCCTGTATATATCTCATTTAATGAAAATAATTCACTTTGTCTCCACCTGAGTTGAAATTTATTCTTTTCTTCTTCTGTTGTTTTTGTTGTTTTTTAACCTCAGGGACATAATGAGATGATGAAGAATGTTTAGCTCGGGTTTCACCAAGTTCTGTTTGCTATGTCAGCTTTATTAGAGTTTGAACCTTTGCCTTAAATCTTTATATCCGCACCTTTGACATAAATGTACGACCACATGTTTCTGTTTAAATGCGCGTCGAGCCTTGATATGAAAATGTTAACTTTATCGAAATTATGGCCTGTTGGCTGACCCAAAAATATTTTTCTGCTTTCTCCCTGCACTGTCTGTTTCAGTCATTGTTAAACCATTGTTTACGAATATGTGTTGCAGAAGTCTTTGTATTTTGTGACCAGCAATGTCATTTAGTATATCGAAGAACATCTGTATGGGTTCTTCAATGTTCCTGAAATTGTCATGTTTTAAGTGATCATTACACATTATCTCATATAATGAACAATGGGCCTGGGTGAAGTCCTTCATGATTAAGTGGTGGATCATCACCAGGGTTGATAGTTAGGATCATGAGAATGGTAGGCAATCAGTCACTCCCAAATACGTCATCATGGACCATCCACTGAAATTCGTTATACAAGGTGAAATCAGTGTGCGCCAGATCGAGGATTTAACGTGTTAAAGTGGCTGGATGTAAATATGTGGTTTAAGCATCATCAAAAGTACATTGGTAATTTTCTGAAAATACATTCCTCGAGGATTTTCCTTTCAGTGCTGAAACTTCCAGGAGGCGGATTGTTTCCGTGACGATCACCTATGATGATATATGGCTTTGGAAGCTGATCAGACAGATTTAAACAGTTTAAAGATTCGTATTTAGAGAGACAGAGCTGTGTATGATACCCTGCTGTACCAAAATGGGAGCGCCTATAATTGCAAAAGCAATGGTAATCACTACACTGTCTTAAAGTAAACGTATGTGCACTTTTTAGATACATCTCTTGCTGATTGTTGAAAATCCTGAAACAAAAATTGCATTTCATTAAATTAATTTTAGTTCCCTGCAATTCCATTGCATAGTAGTAGACAATTGAGTCATGGTGGCCCAATTGGAGATGTCTATGGTGTATGTGAGGAGGATAACCTCCTCCGCCTGTCCTGTGAAGACCTGTGTAACCTCCTTATCAAGAGGAACCAATGAGTTTTGCAAAGCGACCGACCTCTCATGGTGCAGGCACAGTCGATATTTTGTTTCCTTTCTTCGTCTTTTAAAAATTATCCACGGCTGGTTGTCGAGCAGATGTTTTAGATATTTTCTCAGTCTGAATTTCTGTCAGAGAAATACGTTGAAGCGCCGAAGCAAAGGGAGCAGGTTGAGCTGATCTACCTAGGTCAAGTCCGTCTGACATGAATTTGAATTTATTTCTGAATAGGCCAGAGGCCAATTTACAGGTTACAATTCAGATTGCAATGATACACATGCAATAGGCACATCTCCTATGGTACTGAGAATGAAAGCTAAATATAACAATATTGTCTGGTGACAGTATGTTCGCAACAAACAAGGATATAAGGGTATGTGATTGGCAACTTGGTTATTTTGAAATTACTGTTATACACTTACGTTTAGGGAATATAGCCCTACAGACTTATTCGTAATGGTACAGATTACAAGTCAACATAATGGCAGCGAATACAATTATATCATAGGCACGTTTCTTACAAAATTGTTGCCTGGTTTTAGTATATTGAAAACAGGAAATATCTAGTTCGTCTTAGCAAACATTTCATAATTACCTCTTTCTTTAAGGATATGATAGACAAACTTGGCTAACTTAAGAATATTATTTTCAGACTGATTTTTTACAAATTGTACAAACTTGCACATACTCGGATTTTGGTACAAACTCTTATCTTAATCACACCACTGTCTATATTTTAAATACCTTGGACAAAAAATCACAAGATGGTACTCATCTTCCAGATAACTGGTACAAAGAGAACTCTATTCAATTTATCTAACTTACTTCACCGATCTTTTTCTACCAATAACATGTGAGAACCTAATCAAAATCGAGTTAAGGCTATTCTATATTTAGCTATTTCTATCCTAAAGAGGTAACGTTCAAATTCAAATGTTTCCTTGATGTGTAGATACAATCTAGTGTCACTAACAGATAAAAGCTGATTTCTCCACATTTGGATCTGGATATCATTTACTCTTTGTCTAAATTCATTGCTAGTCATGAAGTGGTAGGTGGCACAAAATTCCACCTCCAGAAAGAATGTGTAACCTCTCATTACACTTTTCTCTACCCTTTCTTCAAACAAAATCGGAAAACTTATATCCCAGACTATTTTGTTAACAAAAACCAATGTGTTAAATTTTAACGAATTATTTAACAGTTAACAAATCTCTGTTGATGTGGATGTATTTTTAAAAAAACTAAGTATATTCTGTAATACCATCATGGAAAATGTACAAGCTTCCATGTAAACCATGTACTCTTAACTGTATATTTATACCTCTTATACCAATTATTCCGGCCTGAGCGTAATACAAGCTCTGTTCTGTTCTGTTCGGAGGACGTTGCTCCAGAGCGAGTGACTGCAGCAGAGTAGGTAATGTTTGATTTTCAAAGGAGGATCATAGTTAGCGCACTTATAATCTTTCTCGCAGTCAGATCAGTCAACGGGATCCCCACAATGACGACATACCACAGAGTTACAGCAAGATTGAGATCCGTGGTCGAAATGTTGACATTTGTAACAGCGGAGAGGATTGGGGACATATACATCCACTCCGATATTAAAATACCCTGCTTTGATCGACTGCGGGATGGACGAACAAGCAAACGGCAATAGAAATGTGCTTGTTTTCGTAACGATGCCCTCGTTCTTGATAATGAAACGTTTCTCTACTGAAACACCCTGAACTTCCAGCTCTACAGCAATATCCTGTCAGACAGACACTGTGCCCGGCCACAGATGATTCCACGACACGATTTTAACACAGCAACCTCGATATTTGTCAATGTTTTGCGCCACGGAAACGAGTAACGGTCTTTAGTTCTCAAATTCACAGATATAGCCTTTGAAATAGCAAATCGATTGAGTTTAATGGGTAGATCCATAATTCCCTTTCTCAGAATTCTAGCTTGTATATACCTGTGTAGAATTCTGTTGAGTGATCGAATTCGTATATACGTTTCGATATGAACCTGTGTAATTCGATTTTATGAAATGTTGTCAAAGGTGATTTAAGTACTGAGAACAACAACTATATATGTATGAGTAATCGGTGAGAGTGATTTAACGGGACTCTAGTTTTCTGATATTAGAGATGTTCTCTCACTAACAGCATGTAAAAACCTTCACTACATCTGATGTACACAAGTACATACGACCACGCCCACAAACACACAATCCCCGTGGATTCTTGACACCATCCTGTGATGTCAGTATGTTTCTAACAAACTGCCCTGACTCTGTCAGATGGATGACTCTGTGTTGTCGGGAGTCTGTCACCAAGATGTCGCCTGTGCTGGTACTTGTGATACCACGTGGATACGTCATTGCTGTGTCTCCTGTAGGTCTGTAGTTGAACACTACATCTCCCTCGGGCGTCACACACACGACACACTTGGTTCCACAGTCACACATCAGGATGTTTCCTGTCCTCGTGGTACAGAGGGAATAGGGATACTTTAAGATGTCCCTGCCACTGTGGCGAGGACAAACTGACTTCAACACATGTCCTGACATATCCAGGATATCAACACAGGCAGGGGAGAAGGAACTTGCTGCTAGTGTTGATGGTGTCAGAGACGTTATACCCCAGTACTGTTTGCTGGTTGTAATGGTCGACAGCAGCACTAAGTCAGGGTTCACTTTAACAGTTACAATCTGACCGATATCCAGCACAGTGACAGCCACCTGGTTGTCGTGTATCCTAGCTATACCATATGGTTTACAGCCGAGGCTGAGCTTGCTTTGAGCTGCATGACTGTTCCTGGTGTAGAAGGACTTCACACTGTTGTTATTGCAGTCGGTAACTACCACTGTGTTTGTACCATTCACCACGAACATTGTAATGTCAGTAGAAAATACGCTGTCTGTATCTCCTGCTACTTTCACATCAATGGTGTCCTGTAACACAGGAGTTGCCTTCAGGTCCAGCACGTTAATGGTGTCCAGTAACACAGGGGTAGCCTTCAGGTCCAGCACGGTAATGGTGTCTTGTAACACAGGAGTTGCCTTCAAGCCCAGCACATCGTCATACTGGACGAGTATCTCACCCAGATGGAGATGTTCCAGTGCTCTACTCAGCTTGTCCGTGTCCTGCCTGAATGTTATCCTGTCTATTCTTCCCTTCTCCTTCACCTCTACGACTCCGACAGCTTCCACATCACCGGCCTCACATCCCTGATACATCTCATACACATCCATGTCACACTCAGACTGTAGAGCCTGGTCTATCAGCTCAGCCTGTTGTTGGTACATCTGTACTGACATCTCACCTGACTTTATGTCTACCTTCAGTTGTCCAATGTGTCTGTCAGACATCTCTTTTAGTTCAGACAGAAGTTTCCGTTCCTTGACTTTGATCACCTCTATGACTGTGAGACTTGCAGTCTTGATATTTGATTCTAATTGTAAGTGAATCCCCATTTCTTCTTTGACTTTAGAGTTAAGATTTTCAAGATGTGTTTTCACTTCATCTTGCATCTTTAATACATTCCCTCTATTCCTCTTTAGCTCAGTTTTCATTGCAGGAATCTCGGACTCAATTTCAACAACCAACTCACATTTTCTGTGATGGATCGTGCAGCATGCTTGACAAACAGCTGTTTTACAATCTTTGCAAAGATATTTGATACTTTTATTCTTGTGAACTTTACACATGACATTTCTCTTGACCTTGACCTTTGTCTCTCCAGATAGGTCAACTACGTCATGGTGACGAGTAGATGGGATTCGTTGGTGCATCCGTGTACATCGTTCACACAGTACATCGTCACAAACAGAACACCAAGATGTAGCTGGAGTTGTCTCCCCTTCCTCCTTACAATAACTGCAGTTAGTTGTATCTGAAATAACCATTCATTCATTTATTGCGATATCGCAACATATCGAGGGACTATATGAGGAGGTGGGAAAATGTATCAAAAACATCTGATATTGAGGCATTTGATGTGTGAGTAATGTCAGATTTTATGTGGAAAATGTAGGATTTGTCATGGCTATTCTTCCATCTTGTCTGCTGCTCGTTGAGCACATGTCCATAGTAGGAGTTCATTCACAAGAATAAAAGGAGGTATCACACAATGTTCAATATCTTCTCAACTCGACACACATTCCTTTTATCCAATCAAGCGTATTGTTGCATGCTGTGAAACATCACGAATAGTCACAAACACTCACCTTTAGATCCGGGGCCAAACGAATCCATGAGTCCCTGGATGACAAAGCTTGGCTTGATGTCATCCGCCCACTCCTCCACTGGTCTCTCAGGGTCAGACACTTCTGTCGTCCTCCTGCAGAATGGACACAGGAGAGACTTGGCACTGAGGGCTTCCCGTCTGGTTTTGGTGTAGTCGACGACACATTTCCGACAGAAGGTGTGATTACACACAAGTGAACAGGGCTTGTCAAACACCTCTGTACATATGGTGCATGTCAGGAAGTGTTCTGTCAACTTCTTGGATGTCGCCATCTCTCCTACAAAAGGACAAACGATGCAAACCTTCCACTTTAGCCACTGCCACTATCCAAGCCGAATATACTTGACACTATGTCCGATAAGTTGCATTCCTTATTTACTGTCCTATTTAAAGCTACGAAATGCTTCGATTGGTGAACCTGCTCTTTAAGTAATGAACGAAACCCCGTATGCAGATATTTGCCAGCAATCTGAGACAGCATTGGCAGGTGCGTTACATTTTGGCTGATTGTATTCTGTGTTTATAGCTCGTGTGTGAGCTGCACTGATTTGCCAGGGGTATGTGTTATAATGTGAAGTTGATGTTCGGTATATTATCATGTACAAGTGTTCTGATAACACCCGGTGTCAGGGAACTGTGGCATGTCAGTGGGAGCTTGTTTTTCAACATATTACCTGCTAGCTATACCACATGAAGTTATGATCACATGAGAAAGGTACCATCCACTGATTACCATATCGAAAATAGGAGGTATTAAGTTCCGATTCTGCTGCATTAGATGTAGGATGATGTAGACATGTAGATGTATTTTCTCATATACTCTGCTGTAGCATTTATCAGGGGTAGTCAGTAATAATAATCCACATACATCTGCATGGTAACATCTATCGAGTTTGACAATAGTTCACAAATACTCAGCCAGACAACACGGACCTACCTGAGTCAGTCAGCTTGCTTAACAAAGGATGTAATGTGTCATATAACTTTGTGGACTTTTGACTTCGTTATCAACGGAAATACCGTATCATTCATTGCGCATAGTCTGCACACAGGTCATGTAAAGAAACCAGCTTAGCTGATGGGTGAGAGGAGCTTTGTGTGTCAGGTTGTCGAGATCCAAATACACCTGACGCAGGGTTCCGTGGATCGGAATGTCGACTGACATTTACGCAGCTCTGTAAAGTCACTTTTAAACACATATCGTTTTTGACAACGTTCGGGAAGTAATGTACAGGTATGATCCATTCTGTCTGCAGTCGTGACATTGTTTGTAGGCGACGTGGTTAGTTGTAAATTGTCTGGTGCAGTTTTCGTTTTGCAAATACGCCATCATAGGGAGATTCTTGGTGGAAATTGATCCCCAGCAACCTGTCCTAAACTTGGAAATCGTATCCTGGACCGTTGGTCGCAATATCAATCACTCTAATCTCACAGGGCGCCGTCATGGAGATTTTTCTACACTTTACACGTTAATTATGCTTCTGTGACATATCAGAGGGAACACAAAGTCACGAGTATCATGGAAAACATTGACACTTGGGCCGACCGTCAATATTCAAAGAATGGTGTAACATAAATATTGATCAACATAGAGGGTGTAATATCATCAAAGCGTGCTAAAAACAAATTCGATAAAGCCCACCTGATGAGGTGCAATATACAAATTGTTATTGAAATCTCAATCCGCATACTGATATATAGATATGTGAGTGGGAAAGTAAGAATTGTGTTTTTGAACAATTGCACAAAACATGGATCTTTGCGACAATATTCAGATAAACAAAATACAGCTGCATAATATCTGCTGAAAGCTTTCTGCGATGCAGGTGGTCATGAAGCAGCAAACATGTGTCATTGTTTCGGTGATGTCCGTACACACATTCAAACGCACACACGCACACACACACACACGACATGTAATTCAATGCTTCATCGTGAGTTGAATATACATCTTATTGATTCACCTCTGCAACTGCTAAACGATATCATGCATTTAAAAGACGTTGAACAATGGTGTCAAGTGAGACATACTTCTAACAGCGATAGCGACTACAACAGAGGTACACAGGAGATAACAGATCCCATGGTCGTCATTTATAATGCATGTGAAGAAGGGTCATGGCTAATACTTCACCTTGATCAGCAGTAGTCAGTCAAGATTCCGGAGTAGGCCAAGGCTGGATATCCGTGGTGAAGTCACAGTCACAACTGACAATGTATCCTAATGCGTCTCGAAGCAAAAGGAGAGTTCAAGCACTCTCGGATCTACTGCTAATCTGAAAGATTGCTCATAGTGTGGTGCTTGAGTATTCACGAAAATGAACTGTATTTGCTCAAAGAGACAATTTCTTTTGAGATTAATGCTGGTGTGTAATCCCCATTCTTGGGTTCGAACTCATGAACGCAGGTGTTTGGCGGCCCAGCTTTTATCAATGAACTGCTGCACCATAGAAGCCATTTTGAAGTTTCCTATTTGTCTCTCTGTTCCTATACAAAGACTTGCGTCATCGGATAACCAGAAGTCGGGAACAAAAACCAAAACCCTAACCTTGACACTTCCTCACCCAAATCTATCAACTTCCTGTACACAACCCTCAGCACAACGTTCACCTCCACCCACACTCTCATCCTACCATCAGCGAATCTGAGGGTAAATCTTGATTCATCAATGGAGACAACTGGATGCCACATTCGTCACCACTCGCCCCTTTCCGTAACCTCCAAGAAGACTCGTCCCCCTACATTCGTCACCACTCGCCCCTTTCCTCAACCTCCAAGAAGACTCGTCCCCCTATAGATGTTTGTTATGTGCGAAAATACGACAAACCAATCAGAACGAGCGTAATGACTGCCGTGCTTTGATAAAAATAATCTCGACTACTTTAATCGATTATGGCATTATGTGTTTGTGTAAAAAGTCATGAAAAATATATATTGTCATGTTGAAAGTGAAAAGAACGTAGCTAACTGAGTTGCCCCGTGTAGTTTTAGTAAGGGTAATGCCGTGGATGGCGAGAATTTCAAGTACACCCACGTGCGTTTGTTGACATACTATTGCGCTTCCAACAATTTTAAGAAATGTAATTATAAATCAGTGCGATTTTCAAAACAGTTATATTATATCTATATGTAACTAATCCATTTTAATCTTTAACATTGGACTTATACTTTACATCTGTGGAGTCATTCATATATTTTCAGCGAATTCATTTAATATTCCACCAGGGGTATGACAGCAAGGTTACACGAATGTTCAGTTTGAGAAAATATTTTAAAGTAATTTTTGAGTGTCTGCCTTGTAATCTATAGTCCGTTTGACTCAAAAGCGGACCGATGAATGGCAATCTAACTCGAAAACTAATAAACAGAAAATACTCAATGAAACGCTGATCATAATCAAAACGTCAAACCAACTATGTGTGTTTTTTGACAGAATTTATGTCCTAAAAATAAAAAAGTTGTTTAACAAACTATCATTAAAATATTGACACAGTTCACTATTTGTTACGAGGGAGGAGTGCAGGGAAAGGGACAGCCAGGTGTTCGAGAAAGGATGGAGACGGCACAGCACAGGTTAATGAATCAATAACTTTGTGAACTTGTGCACGTGCTTCTCTAACGCCTGGCTGTCCCTTTCTCTGTACTCCTCCCTCGTAACAAATAGTGAAATACCACCGAACTCACTGTGATTAAATATTCATTCGTTCGCAGAATTTTATCACGCTTCATAAATATCTCATTGCGATTTATCTTCCTTTAACCATTCATTTATTTAGTCAATCAAATGGACCCGCTCCGCTGCAACGCTGGAGCTGTATGTATCACAACACGTCACGAGTTGGCAAAGCAATCCATGTATCTAATGTTTAGGTGTGCAAAAGTTCACTGTATATGATTAGTGATCGGTTGGTCACAACGTCTGCTAAACACTGACTTCATGCTCAGGCAAGTTTGGCTGCTTGTGTATCGACAATAGTGGTACTTTCCTAGCTATAAATGTGATCAGTAACGTGTATAAGCTCGTGAAAGGTGTGCACAAGGATTACTGCCCTGCAATGCAAATTACACAATCTGTCTCTTCTGAAGAGAGTAACAACATTTGTCAAATTCACATGTCAATGAATATTTTTTTTTAAAACCTTTAAACAGTCAGTATAACTACTTTTTACCTAATGATCCAGTTTCTCATTGACACACTGATAAAATATCAATCATAAAAATACCTCTATCCCTAACATATTTTGTCCAGTATATATGAACCACATGGTCTCATTGAGACAATATATCTGAATAGAAAATACAAGTACGGGCTATTTACATTACATCACATCACATCACATTTACTTAGATTTACATTACATTACATTACATTACATTACATTACAATGCGAGAGTGGTTTTATTCCGCTTTTAGCAATATTCCAGCTATATCAAGGCGACGGACACCAGAAATGTGGGTCACACAGTGTACCCATCTGGAGAATCGAACCCAGGACTTCGGCGTGACGATCCACCGCATAAACAATTGGGCTACCCCACTAACCCCCATTGCATACCAATGTTAGTCCTTCTAAAACTGGTTTGATTCGTCATATTCAAATCAAAAGTCATGGATGATTTGTCAGAGTGATTAAGAAACACTGAGTGAGTGTGTCACAAAATGAGTATTTCAGCCACATTGTGACAAAAACAATTCACACAGTAATCAGTACAATGTTCAGACAATGAGATTAAACTAAAGAGTAAAATTGTGTTTCAGACAGGAATGTTCCTACAGTGCATCACATCATATCCCTCCAAGTAAACTATATTTAATCTAAAATAGGACTGTGACCTGTTCACTCAATTACAGAATGTAAATACCTTCACTGCATTTAATGTACACAAGTACATACGACCACGCCCACCAACACACAGTCCCCATGGAAGGTGGACACCATCCTGTGATATCAGTATGTTTCTAACAAACTGTCCTGACTCTGTCAGATGGATGACTCTGTGTAGTGAGTTGTCTGCCACCAGGATCTCGCCTGTGTTGGTACATGTGATACCACGTGGATACTTCAGTGCTGTGTATACTGTAGGTCCGTAGTTGAACACCACATCTCCCTCGGGAGTCAGACACACGACACACTTGGTTCCACCATCAGACACCAGGATGTTTCCTGTCCTCGTGGTACAGAGGAAGTAGGGATACTTTAAGATGTCTCCACCTCTGTGACCAGAACAAACTGACTTCAGCACGTGTCCCGACATATCCAGGATATCAACACAGGGAGGGGACTCGGAACTTGCTGCTATTGTGGATGGTGTCAGAGACGTTATACCCAAGTACTGTTTGCTGGTTTTGATGGTCGACAGCAGCACCAGGTCAGGGTTCACTTCAACTATTACAATCTGCTTGGTTTTCGGCAGAGTGACAGCCACCTGGTTGTGTTTCAGCCTTGTTATACCCCATGGTCTACCTCTCAGACTGAGCTTGCTGTGACCAGGTTGACTGTTACTGGTGTAAAAGGACTTGACACTTTTGTTGTTTTCTGTAACTACCACTGTGTCTATACCATTCACCTCTAACATTGTTACGTCAATGGGGTTTCCTCCACCTGCATCTCCTGCTACTCTCACAGCAATGGTGTCCTGTAACACAGGGGTAGCCTTCAGGTCCAGCACGGTAATGGTGTCCTGTAACATAGTCCTGTCATACTGGACGTGTATCTCACCCAGATGGAGATCTTCCAGTGCTCTACTCAGCTTGTCCGTGTCCTGTCTGAATGTTATCCTGTCTATTCTTCCCTTCTCCTTCACCTCTACGACTCCGACAGCCTCCACATCACCGGCCTTACATCCCTGATACATCTCATACACATCCATGTCACACTCAGACTGTAGAGCCTGGTCTATCAGCTCAGTCTGTTGTTGGTACATCTGTACTGACATCTCACCTGACTTTATGTCTGCCTTCAGTTGTCCAATGTGTCTGTCAGACATCTCTTTCAGTTCAGACAGAAGTTTCCGTTCCTTGACTTTGATAACCTCTATTACTGTGAGACTTGCAGACTTGATGTTTGATTCTATTTTTAGGGGAAGCGCCAATTCTTCTTTCACCCTGGAGTTTTGTTTTCCAACATATGTTTTCATCTCATCGTGTTTCTTTAACAAATTCTCTTTATTCCTTTTCAGCTCGGTTTTCATTGCAGTAATCTCTGACTCAATTTCAACAACCATGTCACATTTCCTGTGATGGATCGTGCAGCATGTTTGACAAACAGCTGTTTTACAATCTTTACAAAGATATTTGATATTCTCGTCCTTGTGAACTTTACACATGACCTTTCTATTCACCTTGACCTTTGCCTCTACAGACAGGTCAACTACGTCATGGTGACGGGAAGAGGGGATTCGTTGGTGCATCCGGGTACATCGTTCACACAGTGCGTCGTCACAAACAGAACACCAAGATGTAGCTGGGGTTGTCTCCCCTTCCTCCTTACAATAACTGCAGTTAGTTGTATCTGAAATAACCATTCATCCATGTGGTGATATTAACCTGGTGACATCAAAATGTATTATAAGGCTAGACATGGCGTATCATGTTCAATCCCCACACAGGTTAGAAAATGTATCGCAAACATCAGAACGTCTCAGGTTGAAACGTATTGGAAAACAGTTCGGAACTGTCTCACCGTAAACGTTGTTCTGCGGGTCATGAATAATGTTTATAAGGTAGACCCTAGATCATGTCACCTCTGACATGCTGTCTCTTGCTAATGAAACAGGGGCGTAGCTACCATTATAAAAAAAGCCCGGACTTACACATGATTGTTGCCAAAAAATGTTGAACAAGCCCTCAATACTATCTAAATATAGCTTTGTAATCTATCGGGCCTACTCGAAAATAGAAACTGGCTTGCTAAGCGCCTGTGAAACACATATCCACAATACAAGTGCACATTTCTCACAAACAAACTGTTTTATCTAACACAGGAGTCACATACTACTTAATACAGTTTAATTCCACAAACATTCCAGTTTCGTAAAATTAATTATTCTTTTACCTGCTTACAAACAACACGTATATTAGTACAACCCACAAACACTCACCTTTAGATCCAGGCCCAAATGAGTCCAACAGTCCCTGGATGACGAAGCTTGGTTTGACGTCATCCGCCCACTCCTCCACTGGTCTCTCGGGGTCAAACACTTTCGTCATCTTCCTGCAGAATGGACACAGGAGGGACTTGGCACTGATGGCTTCTGGTCTGGTTTTGGTGTAGTTGACGACACATTTCCGACAGAAGGTGTGATTACACACAAGTGTACAGGGCTTGTCAAACACCTCTGTACATATGGTGCATGTCAAGAAGTGTTCGGTCAACTTCTGGGAGGTCGCCATCTCTCCTACAAAACGACAACAGGCACGACATGAACAAAATATCCACTATACAAACCACATTCATCACACCAACACCGACCATATTTGTAGTCACGATTTACTGACACGTCTAAAACCACAAAAGGCCATGTTAAGTAAATCCTGTCTTGAAATAACGAACAAATGAAAACATAATTTCGGATATATGTAGATCCTATAATCAATGAGAGATAACATTGGTAGACGGGTTGTAACTGGGCCGTGTGTATTGTGTGCATGATGTGAGCGTGTGTGGGTGGCTCTGTATTTCTGGTCATACGTAAAACATAGAACAGCCATTCCCTCACATATTTCATATTTCCTGTATTTTAGAAGCGTTAGAAGCTGGATATCATAGGATGAAGGGAAAAGACCGTCTGTTGTGATTTCCCTCTTTCCTCTTTGATACTGCATCCGTTGAGCTACAGTAGAATGTTTATACTATTGTGTTATGTTATTATTATCAAATTATCCTCCCACTCTATTTGTATCGTCCTTGTTTTGCTTTTGTACGAGATGTACAGAGATGTAGAATAATCTGGTAATGTGGAAGTAATTTCCCCTACTTTGTATCGTACCATATATGATAGCCACTAACAATCGTACATACCTCAACAGGTCTCAGTATTGAGGTCAACAGGCTGATAAGAGAAAATGTTGAACGGAGATCTTCAAATTAATATGGTTATCACAGATGTATAATTCAGTCAGATATCAGGTTATGAGAATCTGTCTCTAGATAGTTGTCGAGTTTGACGAACCGTTGTTCCTTCCTAATACACAATAGTTCACAAATACCCAACCAAAGACAACACGGACCTACCTGAGGCAATCAGCTGACGTAACAAGGGGCGGCTATGGTCAGGTGTGATATAACTTTGTGGAATTTGGACTTCGTTATCAACGGGAATACATGTGTCGTGTAGTGTGCATCGACTACACACAGTTCCCGTTGTGAAAACGTGTTTGGTTTGGTTAAGACAGGAGCTTTGTGTGTCAGGTTCCGTAGATCCGAATACGGATGATGCGAGTTCTGCAGATCCGAATGTGGATTAGTACAATTCACGTAGACGTACTTCTGTTACCTCACTTTAAAACACCTTCCTTTTGTGACAATAGTCGGGAAACAATAACCGTACAGGTGAAGGCAGATGAGAAATGTAAGTTTTCAATGTCTACAAAGATATGTATTATCAATTCTGTCCTGTCTACAGACGTGACATCATGACTCAACAGGGTGGGTCGCTGATTGCCTCATGCAGTCTTGGTTTTACATGCAGCCCGGTCACGAGTCATTTCGGGGTTACAATAGGTCACCAGCAATCTGTAGTTGACTTCACTGATAGCAGGAAGTTGTATCTTATCGTGGGTCTTGCTGAGTGTAGCGTTAACCAAAACACAACCAGCATGTATTTGCAGGTTGCCATAGCGTTGATATTGATGACTCTGACATAACTATAAGCAGTAACGCACTAAAGAATAAATCATCTTTTATTGGATTTCTACACTTTACAAGTCTTTCTTCACTGTCCGTTTATTCAAATTTCTATTGCAAGTCCACATGACATAGATAGGATGTATAGCAATTGCAGGCATACATTTTTAGTATGAACTGTAATCTTTGACACAATTTGTAAATATATTCCATTTTAAGTAGCCTGTTGCATCGATCGCGAGAGCATCATGAGGTCATTCAAGCTGTAACACTGATTTTACCACGTCAAGTCAGTGCTGGAATATCCCTCACTGAGATATTAAACAGTAATGTCACAGTTGCATTGAATATACGAAGCTTATACTTCATAACGTGAGAGCTGCATACTATAGCTACCTGGGGAACATTGGATGTCGGAGTGAGTTAAAAATTAACCTCACATCGGCAATACTGCAGCCATATCGTGACGAGAACAGTTGATTGGATGTCGGAAGTGATGAGGAATCCCAGTATTCTACTGTAAGTATAAGATGGAATGTGTTTGTTTCATCAACCTGAACCTTATGTTAAGGATTGGCATTTGTTCTGTGACAAACGATAACCTTGAAATGGTTCATGCTTCCACCCGCACAGAAATACCCCATAAAACAATTCATGAAGCCACTCCACATTGTCCATCCAGTGATGCTGATTAGCTGAAGATTGACCCACTCAGCAATTAATGGAAATATAGAAGTGGGGAGATGCCCTGTATTTGACAGACAATCTACACAAATATTTTAACCTGTGTGATGCTTACACGTCCTCGGAGATCTTGTGTTTCACATCCCGGTTCTCTAATTTGTTTAGAATTTCGAAAGATCATGATTGTAATCAGAGCAGAGATTCATTGAAGACAGGATGGAAGAAAGCTCATGAACATATCACATCCATAAACTCCTAAAATGTGTGGACGCGCAGCTGTATCACCTTCGTGCGGTATATCCCTCGCTGAATAGTTCAGAATCATATATTTATCATGCTTTCGTTGTTAACTCTACGACCACTTTGTGCTTTCAGCTCAAATGTTACTCATTTTGTTTAAACTCAATTAACAAACCTTCCATCGATCTATGATAATTTTGATTAAATAGAAAGGCAAAACTTAGGATATCAACTTATGATTGCTTCATTCGTTCATTAACCATGTCCTTCAATCGAAGCGTCTTATATAGAAGAACATCGTTTTTTTAGGAAAGGATTAGGATGTCATATAAAATTGGGTAAGAACCGAAACTGACATGAAAGAATATGTCCAACTTTCAAATAGTCATAATGTCTCCACATTCTATTTTCACATTTCATATATGTACTGACGACAGTATCGCAACACCCAATATTGTCCACAGTATCAATATGCTACCATTAGGCATACCAAAGAAACCTATCCAACACAACATGCGCATTACCTAATGTCTGGTGTAACCTCCGCCAGATGCACTAACCTCCCTGAGCCTCCTCATTGACTGTATCAGACGTTAAATTTGACGCTGAGGTATTACGTCCCATTCTTGATTGAGATATCGAACCAATGCACCAAGATTTGACATATTCTGTTCGCCATAATGTCCCCAACATGTCTATGGTATTGAGATCTGGACTCCTGTAGCGCCAAGGTAGTTGTGCTGTCGCTGCCTGATGTAAGAATGGCCAACACCACTTGCACCATGCGGTCAAGCATTGTCGTCCATAAAGACTGGCATTGTGTTCTGAGGTTGATTTTTATAATTTGTTATAGTCACAATTAAAATAGTCCTAATTATAAAATCGACTCTTTTAGCAGATATTTCTTATGGATGTGGAAAGGGTTTTGTCAAAATTCTATTCACAACGAACCTGTTTGAGATGTCAGTGTCCATTCAGATTTTGTCTGATCGTCACAAGGTTAAGTTTACAACCATGTGAGAGTCAAAGCTGATAACCGATGCACAGCAACCAGCATCTCTTCCAACAACCCTCAGTGACATGTCATCATTTTGCACGCATACCAATAATTTGACATCTATGGGCAGTTGTCTGTTGAGGAGGCCCGATATTTGCTTATCAACAACGAAATCAATTATGATTTTCCAAGTTTTCGTACTGTAAGAATGGTTTACTGAAATTTGATATTTCGTCAATGACAGGTAAATGTATTGCATTTGATGCTTGATCATGATCGTAGGACGTGTATATCTAAAATCAATGTAAGGTCCGCCAAAAAGACCAAAACAACAATAGTTAGGATATGAATATAAATGGCTGTATGGGGTTTAAAACGTTGTGATACTTTTTTCAGTGTGTATGTTGGGAGGTTATCGATGAGAATAAATATAGGAATATACTGAATAAAGGACATTAAAGAAGCAATTTTCCAGATTAATTCAGACTTGCTGTATTGTTTTCATAATCTTGACAGATTGTTAGTGTTTACTGAGTAGTAGAATCAGTGACATCAAAGGTTACAAAGATTGCTTCCTCAATCAATGAGTACCCGGTTGTCTCAGTTTAATTCATCCTTTGGAGATGAACATCTTGTGCATATTACTTCAATTAATCTCTTCTCATGGGTATCAAGACAAGAAAACCTTCCCAATAAGGTGACCCCTGTAAAGGCTGGACATGAGTCACAGACACCATCAGCACCAGACAGTTGGTGAAAGAAGAATGCTCTGACTGTCAAGGTCATATTTGCTGCCAGTCAAGGTCATATCTGCTGCTATTGCTGATCTCACAGTAAGCTTGGAGTCATCTCTTGATGATACCACAACAGTACTTGACAAATTCAGTACAAATCTTTCTGACGCTACAATGAACATCGTGGAGCAATACGTTCAATGTCGCTGCTGTCTGAAGTGGTTACCAGGTTTGGATAACCAACAAACCATTTACTACCTTCCTCACAGTAAGCTTGGAGTCATGATGGACCTGATGGAGCAGGGCCCTTGCTCCATGTGACTGTTGTCTGAACTGGTTACCAGGTTTGGATAACCAACAAACCATTTACTACCTTCCTCACAGTAAGCTTGGGGTCATGATGGACCTGATGGACCTGATGGAGCTGATGGACCTGGTGGAGCAGGGCCCTGGCTCCATGTGACTGTTGTCTGAACTGGTTACCAGGGTAGATTTGGTCCTCCTGGACACGCGCGCGCGGACGCACGCACGCACACACACACACATACACACAAACAAACAAACACACAAACACACTAAATATGTTTGAAAATGTATGTCTATTCAAAAGTTCCAAAATCAGATGAAATCACCTAGATGTGCATTTGCAAACGAACAAACTGGACGTATTTAGTCACACAGTGTATTTTAATGTCCACAGTGACAACTGAGAATAGTTGACAAGAAAAATAGCTAAAAGGAAGCTACGCACCACACATAGACATATTTCAAATGTGTTCCATATTATCCTTCTCGACATTATTACTTTATCTATACAGCATGTATTTCATTTGGACAACAGACACAAGGTTGTATATATATGTTCAAAGTATCAGGACAATTTGTCCAAAATGAAAGCGTGTGAAAAAACAATATGATAAATGTTGGCCTTCCTCGCATGAATCTGAACACTCAGCTCTATATACACTGACACAATGTAAACATGGTTGTGTTTACACCAATATGCCCTAGTGGAATATGAGAAGCCTGACAACTTTTTCAGAATCCGGCATAGAGTGACACTGAGAACGAAAGTTTTAACCTCCACCATTGTATGATAATCTAACAGAAGGGGTCACTTTCTGGAAGATGCTTGGGCACTTTTAGCATTAGTTTCCGCTCAGATTATCAAGAAAAGGGACGAAAATTATTTTCATAGTCATTGCAAATATCTATTAAAATCAGAGTCCATGTTCCAATATCAACAAGACCCATTGGAATGGCGTGTTAGGGTGCAAGTAAAGCATGATATCATGGGAGTGTAGTATGTATGCTGCAAGTCAAAGCAGAGAACTTCATGGGATATGAACTTTGTCACTGATGTCGGTTGATCAAAACCCTGATCTAATATCCGCAAGGTAAACAAGCTCAGTTTATGATAATGGGGATAACTATGTCTTTCATTTACCGTCATGTACAAGCCAAAACGTTCAGCATCTCCTCCATTGTTTTGACAGCATACTTCTCATCACATTCGCTTTCATTTTTAACAAGTCGGTCAATAACAAAATGCCTTAATGATGTCTTAACTCCACTGGTCTGTGACTATGTGAAGGGGTGTGTCAAGGATTATGGTTAGTGTAGGAGACTGGGATGAAAGGGTTCATTTGTTGGACTCTTGCTTGTCACCTGGAATCGTGGTTAACTTGAGTTAAAAAAAAAACAGGCTTCTCTCCTAGTGGGAAATCTCGGTAATATCTTCCTTGAAAGGAATATCGGTTGCCTGTCGTGGCATCTAAATGAACTGGCTCCGTCACATGGGAGATTAAATGTTGTTATACCCTCACTGCTTTGATGTTACCCGTAACAGCAATCACTGGTTTATCAGGCCCACATTCGAGTATTTTATACACTACCGTCATCGTGTAGCTGGTAAACTGAATGCTGCGTTCACCATCAAGTAGAAATGTCCACTACATATATCTATTTGCAACACACATAAAGAACACAAATTGTGATGAAACATTCATTCGTTCGCTGTATTTTATTGCTCTTCGTGAATATGTCATCACGATTTATCTCCCTTTGACCGCTCAGTTTTCACGTCAATCCAGTGTCCCCTCCACTGCAATGACAGAGCTGTATCTTCTGTGTATCACAACACGTCACGAGTTGGCCAAGCCATCAACGTGTACGTGTGAAGTAATAGTTTACTGTATTTGTATCAGTGATCGGATGGCCACTTCATCCACTGACTAGTCTGGCTGTTGTCCGACCCGATGAAACACAATCCCCTTTCCAACATTGATGTAACATTCCCAGCTTGTTTACCTGTTGCAATCACAAGGGTGGGACTTTCGCGGGCGGTTATGTGATCAGAATAATGTACAAGTAAATTATGAAAGGTGTGCACAAACATTTCTGCCTTCCAAGGCATATCACACAACAGGTCTGTTTAGAATAGAATAACAATAGGTATTTAATACACATGTCGATGAATATACAAGGTATAGTCTTTAAACAATCAGTAAAACAATTTTACCTAGATCCCCAGATTTCAGGTCATTACGACAACACAAAATATCGATATACTACATGCCATGAAACATATGATCTCATTGAGACAATATGTTTGAATAGAAAATACAAGTACGGACCATCTATACATTACTTTATTACCCTTAAGATAAATTTGTCGAATTCTGATTGGTCAATAACCAAAGCATACGAAACCACGAAGGCGGATTTCACCATGTCAAATCGGGAACAGGTCAAAAAGGGCCAAAGGACAAAAGGGCCAAAAGATTAGAAGATTTTGACTTTCCTTTGGCCCTTTTGTCCTTTGGCCCTTTTAACTACAACCCGTCAAATCTGTCACGTGACACACTGCACTGCTTGTATAAATGACCTTCACCTTAGATGGACCGTGACGTGGCTGCTAAAAAAGTTCATCACTTCGAAATTCTACAGTTGGCGTATACAATTATGAGTATAAACAAAGTAATGAAATTGTTTTCTTATTTGTTTGTGTCAATAACCATATCCCCAAAGAAAATGTTTCCGTATTCACTTGTCCTTTAACAAAACCTCAAAATCGGTAATTTTCATCATACACTTAGCCGTTTATCAAAAACTAATACTCTCCCATTATGACCGTTCAGCAAAAATCATTTCGAAACGTTCTGCGACTCATTCTGCCGATTTAGTGTTGGTTTTAAAGATAAGCTAAATATAGAGATCTTAAGGGTAATAAATTCGTCACACGGTGTTTTGAGAGGGTGTACGGGACTGTAAGACCCTTGTAAATTACGTATTTCATGAGACACCCTTTCAAACCAGCGTGTAACCAATATTTCATTACAAAACAGTACAGTACAAGTTGTGTCTTTCTAAACTAGGTATCATTCATCACATTCACATACACAATCATGGATGATTTGTCAGAGTGATTAAAAACAGTGAGTGAGTCAGTCAGTGAAGGAGTTGATATTTAACGTCACATCAGCAGTATATCAGCCATATTGTGACGAAAACATTCCACACAGTAATCTGTAATATGTTGAGACCTTAAGATAAAACACAAGGGTAAAGTGTGATTTCAGATTTTCATGAAGTACATCACATCATATTCCTCCAAGTAACATATAACTTTATTTAAATCAAAGGGATTGTGACATGTTCTCTCACTTACAACATGTAAATACCTCCACTACATTGTTTGTACACAAGTACATACGACCACGCCCACCAACACACAGTCCACATGGATACTGGACACCATCCTGTGATGTCAGTATGTTTCTAACAAACTGTCCTGACTCTGTCAGATGGATGACTCTGTGTTGTGAGTTGTCTGTCACCAGGATGTCGCCTGTGCTGGTGCTTGTGATACCTTGAGGAACCTTCAGTGCTGTGTCTCCTGTTGGTCTGTACTTGAACACCACATCTCCCTCGGGGGTCAGACACACGACAAACTTGGTTCCACCGTCAGACACCAGGATGTTTCCTGTCAACGAGGTACAGAGGAAGTAGGGACGCTTTAAGATGTTTCCACCTCTGTGGCCAGGACAAACTGACTTCAGCACGTGTCCCGACATATCCAGGATATCAACACAGGCAGGGGGAGTGGGAACATGTTGCTAGTGTTGATGGTGTCAGAGACGTTATACCCAGTACTGTTTGTTGGTTGTGATGGTCAACAGCAGCACCAGGTCAGGGGTCACTTCAACTGTTACAATCTGACTGGTCTTCAGCACAGTGACAGCCACCTGGTTGTGTTTCAGCCTTGTTATACTATAGGGTCTACCTCCCAGACTGAGCTTGCTTTGACCTGGCTGACTGTTCCTGGTGTAGAAGGACTTTACACTGTTGTTGTTGTAGTCTGTAACTACCACTGTGTCTGTACCATTCACCTCTAACACCGTCACGTCAGCGGGGTCTCCTCGACCGGCATCTCCTGCTACTGTCACGTCAATGGTGTCCTGTAACACAGGAGCAGCCTTCAGGTCCAGCACATCGTCATACTGGACGTGTATCTCACCCAGATGGAGATCTTCCAGTGCTCTACTCAGCTTGTCTGTGTCCTGTCTGAATGTTATCATGTCTATTCTTCCCTTCTCCTTCACCTCGACGACTCCGACAGCCTCCACATCACAGACCTCACATCCCAGATACATCTCATACACATCCATGTCACACTCAGATTGTAGAGCCTGGTCTATCAGCTCAGTCTGTTGTTGGTACATCTGTACCGACATCTCACCCGACTTTATGTCTGCCTTCAGTTGTCCAATGTGTCTGTCAGACATCTCTTTCAGTTCAGACAGAAGCTTCAGTTCCTTGACTTTGATCACCTCTATTGCTGTGAGACTTGCAGACTTGATATTCGATTCTATTTGTACATAAGGAGCCAATTCTTCACCAACTTTGTAGGTTTGTTTTCCAACATGTGTTTTCATCTCATCGTGTTTCTTTAACAAATTCTTTATATTCTTTCTCAGCTCGGTTTTCATTGCAGGAATCTCTGACTCAATTTCAACAACTAACTCACATTTCCTGTGATGTATGGTGCAGCATGTTTGACAAACAGCTGTTTTACAATCTTCACAAAGATATTTGATCCTTTTATTCTTGTGAACTTTACATATGACCTTACTATTCACCTTGACCTTTGTCTCTCCAGACAGGTCAACTACGTCATGGTGACGAGTAGATGGGATTCGTTGGTGCATCCGTGTACATCGTTCACACAGTGCGTCGTCACAAACAGAACACCAAGATGTAGCTGGAGTTGTCTCCCCTTCCTCCTTACAATAACTGCAGTTAGTCGTATCTGAAATAACCATTCATTCATGTGCTTATGTTTACCTCGTGGCATCACAATGTATTATAGGACAAGATGTGGCGCAATAAGAGGTGAGAAAATGTATCAGAAACATCAGAACACGTCTCAGTAATGTAAATATTTGGAATTGTCTCATCCGTTGTTGTTCGGATCAAGAATAATGTTTCTGAGGCAGACCTTGGGTCGTGTCGCCTCTCACATGCTGTCTCTTGATAGAGAAACACATGTCCACTGTACATGTTCGTTTTGTACTCATTCCTTACAAACAACATCAGGAACAGTTTTACATATGTCACAGGAGCCAGACATTGCTAAATATCTTGTATGGTCCACACATGTTCTCATTATGTATAATTAATTATCCTGTTACCTGCTTATAAACAACACGTATATTAGTACAACCCATAAACGCTCACCTTTAGATCCGGGGCCAAATGAGTCCAACAGTCCCTGAATGACAAAGATAGGCTTGACGTCATCCGCCCACTCCTCCACTGGTGGTCTCGGGGTCAGACACTTTTGTCGTCCTCCTACAGAATGGACACAGGTGAGACTTGGCACTGATGGCTTCTGGTCTGGTTTTGGTGTAGTTGACGACACATTTCCGACAGAAGGTGTGATTACACACAAGTGTAGAGGGCTTGTCAAACACCTCTGTGCATATGGTGCATATCAGGAAGTGTTCTGTCAACTTCTGGGAGGTCGCCATCTCTCCTACAAAACGACAACAGGCACGACATGAACATACTATCCAATATCCACTGTCCAACCCATCTTGTCTTTTACTAGCCTTGAAAGCTGGACATCTCACTCCTGAACAGTGTGCAAACTCTCTTTCCCCTACCATAACCACACTCCACCCCTTCTCAAAAGTGTGCAACCCCCATACCACCCCACACACACCCCTGCCCCCACACCCCATCCCCACCCCCCACCCCTTCTCAAAAGTGTGCAACCCCCTACCACCACCACACACACACACACATCCCTTCTCAAAGTGTGCAACCCCTAACACCACCCACACACACCCACACATCACACCCACAAACACAGTCACACCCTTCTCAAAAGTGTGCAACCCCCCTACACCACCACACACACACACACACACACCTACCTTATCAAAAGTGTGCAACCCCCTACCACCACACACACACCACACACACACTCACACACACACACACAGACACACACTTCTCGATAGTGTGTAAAACCCCTACCACCCCACACACCCCACATCCCCAATACCCCTTCTCTCAAAAGTGTGCAACCCCCTACCACCACCACCACACACGGCCATACACCACACACACACACTTCACCACCACCACCACCACCTCACACAAACACCCTACCACCACCACACACACACACCACACACACACAGAGACACACCCTTCTGAAAAGTGTGCAACCCCCTACCACCACCACACACACACCTACCTTCTCAAAAGTGTGCAACCCGCCTACTACCAAAACACACACACACACCTTCTCAAAAGTGTGCAACTCCCCTACACACACACCACACACACACACACACACACACACACACACACTTCTCAAAAGTGTTCAAAGGTTCAGTCTGTGTGCAACTTGTCAATGTTAATAGAAAGTGGTTAAATTTTAGTGTGTAGCGTTATAACTGGAATAGACGCAGCCCCTGTGACAACACACTTACCTGAGACAGCTAGGTAACCGGTGTAGAGGGAAACTGAGCACCAGGCGAGATAGATACTACATGTTAGCGGACGTGGTTCCTTCCGGACGAACTCGGGTCGTTCAGGGACAAGCTGTTTGCATGTTACGGAAAAGGACGAGTGATGTCGAATGAGTGGTTGTGCTTTGAACTCGCTCTGAATGTCAAGGGTCCCGATTTTAAGATTTAGTGTCACCGTCTTATAGCTGTGATAGTGTTAAGATCACAAACATCCCAAACTTCAGGCTCCTGTGATGTAGCTGGGTGACTGCATAACTACACGTTCACGAAGCACCTGGTACCTGTTCGTTTGGATTTGAATATTAAATTTGTATCCTGGACAATATTCAGGTCGACTCGTCTGCTCGTCACATGGAAGACCCGGGTTCGATTCCCCAACATTGGCACAATGTATTAAGTCCTTCTCAGGTGTCCCCCGCCGTGATTCTGCTAAGCGCGGTGTTAAAACACCCACTAACTTTCTGAAGATGGGTAAGACTGGACATTTTTTGCACTGACGTTTAATATTTAAGAGTAAATACTGAAGTATACGGGACGAGAGTTTTGTGGTGTGGGTATCAAAGAAGGCGACCGGAGTACGTCAGAACTCCTGGACATAACACCCGCACGTTGACCCTCAAGATTACTGAATGATGTCGGTATATTCACAGACTTGTGTACAGATTGATCAAGACTGACATGTGGTTAACATCGGTCACGAACCGTATGCTTCATTCACCATGAGATTCTGGTTATCAAGGATCAAGGAACATCTGTCTGTCGTACGTGGGGACTATGTGAATAGGTTCTGTCACTGGGAAGAATAATTGTTGTCATACACGGACTGCTTGGGTGCTGCCGTAACAGCAACCACTCGTTTATCCGGCCAACACTCGACTATCTACAGACTACCGCCATCAACATGAGGCTGGAAAACTGAGTGCTACGTTGACCATGAAGTAGGCATGTACACTGTATACGAGGGGTTATCAAAACGTTTTGAGCCTGAAATACTTCTGATATGTGCATGATAAAAATAACTGTATGATATGGAAGAATGGTTAATATCATTCACATAAACGTAATGTTGACATGCATATGGCGCTAGTTTTCAGTCACGTGACATCTAATCACATGTACCCCTATTGAAACTGCAGAAATGGATGAGCTTAATTACAGAGTATTCATAAAGTTTTTAGTCCTCTGAGGCCACCAGGCGAAGCACCTCTTAAGTCTATTTACAACAGACAGCCTCCGTGGTGTAGTGGTTAGATTGTCTGCCCGGAGAGCTGAAGGTCGCGGGTTCGATCCCAGACCGCGTCATACCAAGAGACGTTAAAATATGGTACTTGTTGGTCCCTGCCTGGCGCTCGGTATTAATGGGTACAACAAGGACTGGTCGGCTCGGAGTCAGTATAATGTGTCTGAGTGGGGTACACATACAAACGCATGCACGTCGTCATATGAGCGAAATATTCTCAAGCACGACGTAAAATCAAATTTCACCTCACCTCACCTCACCTATTTACAACACACGGGACAGCTCAAGTGGCGATACACTATTCAGGCGTTCGCTGTTATTGCTCTATATAAATACCTCGTCACGAGTTATCTCCCTTCCACCACGCAGTTGTGAAGTCAATCCAGTAACGGGTGATGATTGTGCTGAACAGAAGGCAACTCAGACGTATGCCATTTGACCTACATACAACTCTCACACATAGGTATCATATCGCACAAAAACAGACGTTGTTTATATACCAGTCTGTGTATCCTTACAATTCTTAGGTCGTGGTCATTATGCCTTCTTAGCGTTTTACTTTCATGCCATGTTTGCTGTTACTTCATTTCGCGATACATCCGTGAAGATCCGGGTTACAACTGGTCTTCATTAACGTATGCTTCTTGTAAGAGGCGACAAACGGGATCGGATGGTCAGGCTCGCTGGCTTGGTTGACATGTGTCATCGTATCCCTATTGCGTAGACCGATGCTGATGATGCTGATCACTGGATTGTCTGGTCTGGTTATTTACAGACCGTCATATAGCTGGAATATTGCTGAGTGCGGCGTTAAACAACAAACCAACCAACCAATCCCTCCGTGATTCATAGCAGTTCGTGGATAACAAAAACACATGTCCACATTTCTCATCAAAGTGTAAACATCACAATACAGAAATACGCATAAATGAAACTGTGGCAGTATTTATTGCCAGTTACATGTTTTCAACAAGTAGATACAATTCCTGGATGATTAAGTCCACAGGTAAATACATATATATGGTAAGGTTACACAACAACTAGCCGTGAGGCTACACTACCACTAGTCGTGAGGCTACACTACCACTAGTCGTGAGGCTACATTACCACTAGCCGTGAGGCTACACTACCACTAGTCGTTCCGCTACACTACCACTAGCCGTGAGGCTACACTACCACTAGTCGTGAGGCTACAATACCACTAGCCGTGAGGCTACACTGTCACAAGCCGAGTCGTGAGGCTACACTACCACTTGCCGTGAAGCTACACTACCACTAGCTGTGAGGTTACACAACAACGAGCCGTGAGGCTACACTACAACTAGCCGTGAGGCTACACTACCACTAGTCGTGAGGCTACACTACTCCTAGTCGTGAGACTACACTACCACTAGTCGTGAGGCTACAATACCACTAGCCTTGAGGCTACACTGCCACAAGCCGAGTCGTGAGGCTACACTGCCACAAGCCGTGAGGCTACACTACCACAAGCCGTGAGGCTACACTACCACTTGCCATGAGGCTACACTACCACTAGCTGTGAGGTTACACAACAACTTGCCGTGAGGCTGCACTACCACTAGCCGTGAGGCTACACTACCACTAGTCGTGAGGCTATACTACCACTAGTCGTGAGGCTACACTGCCACTAGTCGTGAGGCTGCACTACCACTAGACGTGAGGCTGCACTACCACTAGTCGTGAGGCTACACTACCACTAGACGTGAGGCTGCACTACCACTAGCCGTGAGGCAACACTACCTCTAGTCATAAGGCTACACTACCACTAGTCGTGAGGCTACACTACCACTAGTCGTGAGGCTACACTACCACTAGTCGTGAGGCTGCACTACCAATAGTCGTGAGGCTCCACTACTACCAGTCGTGAGACTACACTACTACTAGTCGTGAGGCTACACTACCACTAGTCGTGAGGTTGCACTACCACTAGCCGTGAGGCTACACTACCACTAGTCGTGAGGCTACACTACCACTAGTCGTGAGGCTACACTACCACTAGTCGTGAGGCTGCACTACCACTAGTCGTGAGGCTACACTACCACTAGTCGTCAGGCTACACTACCACTAGTCGTGAGGCTGCACTACCACTAGTCGTGAGGCTGCACTACCACCAGTCGTGAGGCTACACTACCACTAGTCGTGAGGCTACACTACCACTAGTCGTGAGGCTACACTACCATTAGTCGTTAGGCTACACTACCACTAGTCGTGAGGCTACACTACCACTAGTCGTGAGGCTACACTACCACTAGTCGTGAGGCTACACTACCAGTAGACGTGAGGCTACACTACCACTAGTCGTGAGTGTGATACAGGGGGATCTCCTTTATACTTGCTGGTTTCAGTAACAGATGGTCCAAGACTTGCAAGGCACCAGTCACATACACGCGGAGATCTGCCTGGACAGAAAGAACTGTTCCTTCATCACTCATCATGGACTACATCATGGTAACTGACGCATACCCTGACCCACTGACATGTCCAATGTAAATACAATATATCCTTATATCCTTACCCTTGATATCAGCCAGACAGTATTTGATATACACTACATCATGGTAAATGACGCATACCCTGACCCACTGACATGTCCAATGTTAATACAATATATCCTTATATCCTTAACCCTGATATCAGCCTGGCAGTATTTGATATACACTACATCATGGATAATAGTCAAACCAACCTTCTGTATTGTTACTGTTTTCAGACAAATACTTAGTTGCACAAAGTGATCTTGAACAGCTGATGATACCAACAGCTGCCTTGTATGTTGTCAAGTACATTATGTATATCTACACATTGGGTCTTTGAATGGCATTTAGAAGTGATACACACAAGGAATAGTGTTTGATGAGTGAGTGAGTGAGTTAAAATTTAACGTCACCTCGGCAATGTTTCAGCACATAGTGGCGAGAAAAGTTGGACATAAACAATAAATACAAGTAGGTAAATAACCAGTCATCGACGGACTGTAAAATAACTAGAGTATCACAGATATGGATATAAAACTAGCATGGGAAACTAAAACATTTTAATTAAGGATGACAATACATTATAAATCACAGGCTATAGATCGCCAACAACTGAAGGTAGATCACCATACTAGGAACCATGGGGACTTACATTACTTTTGCTACCTGCATGGACCCTAGTTGGATTTACACCATCCCTTCAGCCGCTGGCGATGGTAGGAAGATTTAGCCGAAATTTAAAATAACACAAATACTACGATTAAAAAGTATGGTTTAGCGAAATTGGCTTGGAAAGTTTTAGAGAGTTTTATGGATGTCAACTTCTGTATTATGAGGAACAGAACGTTTCTGAGCATATCCTTACTTCTTCATCTGGTGAATGAATGATAAGAGGCAGAGGGTATATAACTGTACACGTCGGCATAAACACTGCATGAATCTATTTACAACACGTACACGCACACACACACACACACGCACGCACGCACACACACACACACACGCACACTAAAACAAATTGTCATAAAATAGGGGTCGGGTAGCCCAGTGCTTAAAGCATTCGCTCGACACACCGAAGACCCGAGATCGATTCTAAACAATTTACAATGTGTGGAGCCCCTTGTAATGTCCCCCGCCGTGATTTGGGTTGAAGAGTGAAAACAGCGTCGTAAAACAGAAACTCACTCACTGTGATAAAATATTCATTCGTTTGCTGTATTTTATTGCTCTTCATTGATATCATAGTCACAAGTTGGCAATTCATGTGTATGCGTGCAATAGTAGTTTACTGTATCTAATTGGTGATCGGTTTCACAACGGCTGCTAAACCTTGACTGGTTTGGCTACTCTTGGTACCGATGAAATACGATCCCCCATCCAATACCGATTTAAGCTCCACAGCTTGTTACCTTCTGCCGGAGTCTGCAACCACAAGATCGGAACATCCGT